TAACCACTAGGCCACCGTGACCGCTGAGGGTCTGAGGGGCTGGACGGTGATGTGTTGGCGCGGCGGCGCGCTCGGGGCGGGGCGCTCGGCTCCGCTCGGCTCCGCTCGGCTCCGCTCGGCTCTGCTCGGCGGCTCCGCTCCGCTCGGCGGATGCTGGCGCAGCGTGATATTTTCTGCTGGCTCCGTAGGCCTGGTGTGGTTGTCGATGTGTATCGTAGGGAGGGAAATTTCTCTGTCTCTCGGATCTCGCGGGTCGCTCTGCGCCTGACGCGTGGGTGGGGGTTGCTGGCGGGCCCGGCGGGCAGCGCCCGCGCTGCGAGCAGGGCAGGTGCGGGGGGGAGGAAGGGTGGCGCGCGCTCGGCCGAAGTATTAAAAAGGGTAGGACAGGCACATCTCGGCCCACTCCGCGTCCCAGCTTCTGTTTGTTTATCTGTCAGGTCAGCAGCAACAGCCTTCACCATGTTCACCGTGCATCTGTACTACAACCTGGATACCGAGATGAAGACCAAGCTTGCCGTTGCTACCCATATGTCGGGGTGGCATGCCATTTTGCTCTTCGACGGGGACTACATTTTTGCTACATTTCGGTACGAGTGTCTGGTTCCTGCCCTTCTAAGTTTAGAAGGAAAGACGACGGTGCGGCGTATAACGCGGCACATGATGAAGAAACCGTATGCCGCGGGGACTCAAGAGGACAAGCTTGGTGATTATTTAGTTTCTTATAAAATGTTGGACGGTAAACCTGCTGTGGAGTTTTTAAGAGAGCCGGTGTGGGAGGAGGCGGACAGGGTTAAATGCAACTTTGTCCTCAGTCAGCTCGAGTGGAAAGTGATCTTCGATAATCAGAAGTTTTTATTGTCTGTGATCGTAGACTTGCACGATTTCGGGCTTTCCACGCAAGAAAGGTGTGAAAAAGTGCGACAGTTGGTTACTGAATATGAACCACGTGAACATGGCTCGCGCTGGAGGCGTTGGTATATGAGGCGCAACCAGTTGTAGTGTATTTTTTATTTTAGTGTGTGTGTGTGTGTGTGTGTGTGTGTGTGCGTGTGTGTGTGTGTGTGTGTTTTCTTTTTGTATATAATCTGTTACATTTGTATATATTGTTCAGTTGTGTAAGTCGGAGTGTCCAGCAAAGATGTCGGTCGTGGTTCTGTTTTGTAGTGCGTTCATGTTATCATTTTTAAGTGTAGGTGCAACGTGTAACGCGACAGCGCATTTGAACAGTACTGAGTTAGAAATATGTAGAGATCAGTTTTCATCAATGTTAATAGCCGGAGAAATCGTTTTTCTGGTTGCGTTTCTCGTTTTGTGTCCTTGTTTTGTGGTCTGTGTAGGATTTGGTACAGGTCCGCAAGATAGTGACCCGGAGATTTATTCCGAAAATAATGTTACTGTGCAGAGGCGTTATAGTGTTTAGTCCCCGGGGGGATAGGGATGGGGGGACAGCGCAGTTGTTGAGCTCAATTCCTGGAGGAAAGGATTTGTGAGGGGTCCGCAACAGCCGGAGGTGAGCGCCCTTCTCTCCGCCCCTCCACTTCCCCACCACTTCCCCCTCGCTACCCGTGCAGAGGACGCCCTCTGGCGCTGGAGCTGGAGAGGCTGGAGCTGAGCACTGCCTCGATCACTTGACTACGCGAGCCCTGCAAGGAAGGATCGTCGAGACGTTTGGCCAACATGAGCAACTGTGTAGACAACTTGGTGGTGAGTACAGCTTCTCTTACTTTAAAAAATGATCAGTTGGGGGTTCCAGTAGTGCTCTCCCCAAGTTAAAATATAGAACCGTTAGATCTAAACACGTTTGTGTCTTTTTGGTGTGACAGGTTTGCGAGGAGATGGAGCAGGTGGTTTCAAGGTGGGCACGGCTGAGTGCTATAATCCAGGACCGCTTGAGGGAAGACTACTACGGGCTGGCGGCCCACGAGGTGGAGGAGGCGGTGAGAATCGTCACGAGTCCGGAGTGTTATCAGGTAAATTTTGTGACAATTGTTATTCGTTTACTTCACGTGTGCGCATGTGCTGCCGCCCCGAGTTTTAAAGCAAAACGCGTGTTCAGCGTGTCCTTTTTACGCATTTCATACTGATGTGTGTGTTCTTTTGTTTGTTTTTCAAGAGCATTACACGCTGTCCCCGTGCGGCTGAGGACCACCGCCACGACGATGAGGAGGTCCGTCAGCATGGTGATGCAGAGCCGAGCAGTCGCAGCGGAGTTGTGTTAGAACAGGTGAGATACGTGCCTGTGTGTGTGTGTGTGTGTGTGTGTGTGTGTGTGTGTGTTCGTGTGCGTGCGTGTATGTGTGTGTGTGTCCTCATGCAGTCCGAAAAGTTGTGTTTTTCACGTGATACTTATGCTCGTACTTGTTTTTTGTTTTTTTAAAGGCCGAATCCCGCTGTGCGAGGACACCCCGCCCCAGTAAACCCACCTCAGTTGAACGGTCAGAGGAGCAAAAGGTGAGATGCATACTTTTTTGTAGGGATTACTGTTATTCTCTACGTTTTTTTAACAACATGCCAGTTTAAACACAAAATGTTCAGTGTCTAATTCTGTTTTGTTTTTCGTTGTTTCAGGATGGTGTGAGCTCGAAGAGGAAAAGGTGTGCTTATTGTGGCGTGACTACCCCCACGTACAGCATGGTGAGGCTCCGGCCATCTCCGTCAGCGCCCAACGCCAAACGCGTCAAGCTCATCCCCTACCGTCCTCCCGTACTTAGCGCCCCGCCGACATTTACCCCCCCGCCGACACCCCCTACTTCCCAGGACGGGACTGACGTAACGGACGATGACGACGACTTCGAGGACCCCTCATCCGTAGAGGCAACTTTGAAAGCGCTCGGTGTGGGGGGTTCTGAAAACCTGCCTGACCTCGGACACTTGGAGGAAATAGCTGATTTTTTGGACCTCCAGGACGAACCTGTAATTGAGCCACAACCACCCCTCCCTCCTTCCCTTCCCCCGCTTCAGTTAGAGACTATCCCCCTCCCTCCTTTGCCTCACGTCGTTGAGTTACTGTTGTTGCCTCCACCACCTCCACCCCCATCGCCGCCAGCTTGTCCACCCCCGTCACCACCCCCTCCACCCCCGTCACCAGCTCCAACAGGATCATCGTCACAGTCAGGATCACAGCGGCGTGCACGTTCACGTTGGGATAGGCGACGGCCAGCCTTTACAACCCTGTCGAGGCGGAATGTGAAGACTGGTGTTGTGTACGCTTTTAAGATTAATAAATAAATATTGAAAACAATTTTGTGTCTTTTGTAGCCTTCTTGTTATGTTTTTAAGAGATAGAAAGTTTTAACGCAAAAAGAAATCTAAATAGATGAGAAATAGTTTTGTCTGAATATCGTGATTTTAAAAAGTAACCGAGTTGAAAACGTTTACCAGAACAGAATAAGGAAAAGATACGAGGTACTTTGTTCACTTGCTTTAAAGTAGCTTGTTTTTATAATTAGAGTATATATTCACACACGAGTTAACCAAACATGCACACAGTCGAGTCAAACATTTATCAGATCAGAAATATCAAAAGACGCGGAAGAGTCTGTTTGCTTTCTTTAAAGTAGTTTGTTTTTATAATCAGAGTATATTTCCACACTCGAGTTAAACAAACATGTACGCAGTCGAGTCAAACATTTATCAGGTCAGAAATATCAAAATATGCGGAAGAGTCTGTTTGCTTTCTTAAAAGTAGTTTGTTTTTGTTGTTGTTTTCTTCAAATCTGAGTATATATCTCCCACTCGAGTTAAACACATATGAAGAAAACAACTTCATCAGTTTTTTTAAAAAAATACTTGTCTGTATACTCTACATTCTTTTCGAGTCAGAGGAAAAATAACACTTGGTCGTGTCGAGCATTTCATGAGTAAGAGAAAATATTTTGTAGTTTTAGCGATATAGAGTGAGAAGAGTATTCGTAAATTATGAGAGAAACGTTTTGTTTAAAAAATAAGAGTGTAAAATATTTCAAAGAATATAAGATGTATCTCAACGGTGTTTGATGTGTATTATTCAGAAATATAATTTGTACAAGTTTATGTTTCGTGTGAGATTTTCTTTTAAATATTAATTTTTTGTATGTGATGGAGAAGAAATGTGATTTCAAAAAATAGAAAAAAGTTTGTACAGTAAATCATCATTTTTATTATAAAAAACAGAAGAGCACAGTATATACAAGAAAAACAAAATCAAACAGACACAGTGGTTACTTTTCCTTCATCACCTCGATCAACTTCGCAATGATCAGATCAATAATATACCTCCTGTGATAATGAATAAGTTCGTATCTAAACAGATTAGTATCAGCCCGAAGTTTAGCCTCCATGGATTTTAACTGCCCCGGAATGAGGAACACAGTATCATCAGCATGCAACATGGCCGTTATAATATGATTTTCCTTTGCTTTAAATTTGTCTACAGAAAACTTCTCAGGCTCAGCCTCAATCATAGTTTTTAAAAGATAAGCTGTTGTTTCAATAAGTTGATCCTTGTATACATGTAAGATATTCGAAGCAGTATACATTTTGTTGTTAACATATTCAATAAGATCACGCCGGCTTTTTAACATATTCCACGTTTGCATTGTCAAACAGACACTCTGCTTGCAATCACGTCTCTCTATTTTAACTACATACTTGTCTGAATAGGTAAGTTTAATGCAAGTTAATCTTAGACCAAAAACTGTGATACTTTCCCCAACTTTTTTGCTGTTTATCATCTTAATAACTGACTTTTGAACATCTAACGTCATTAGCTGAGACAATTCGTTAAAGTCTATACGCACAAAGTCGTCATATCTATCCCCTTTAATAATAAAGACATTCTCTGTGGTACGCAAATCATACCCAATCATCAATTTCTTGCTATTACACAAAAATACCGGGTACATACATACAGCAAGGGGTAGTTGGTCCATCCCTTTTGGTAGGTTGTCCTCGTGGTCCTCGTGATCAACGTCCATGACAGAGTGGCTGGCGGATGGCGGGGCGGGGTGGACAGCCGGCACGACGAGGGCGGCAGCAGCAGCAGATGACTCCAGGGGCGCAACAGGGGCAGGAGTCGCAGGATCAGAAGGGGTAGCAGTAGGGGCGGCCGCAGGAGCAGGGGCGGCCGCAGGAGCAGGGGGAAGTACCGGTGCCGCCACGGGGGTGCTGAAGAAGTCAGGTTCAAACGCCGCTGAGGCGTCGTGGAGGGCCAAAATGTCCTCAACCATGCCGAGATCGGGCAGCGTCTGGCTTTGCTCGACGCCAAGCGACTGTAGCACAGCAGCTACGTCTGATGGGTCCTGGAAGGACGGCTGTGGTGAAAAAACAAAAGAATCCACAGCATCTGGTGCGCTGCTCGGCCCCGCTCCAGGTGGGTTGCGCTCCTGCCGCTTCTCGAACATCCTCTTGGTGAACTGCTCCTGGTCGGGCTTGTCCTGCTTGGACACCTTCTGCTGCTTCTGCTTCTGCTGCTTCTGCTGGCGAGGGTCGGCGAAAGGGCTGGAGGCTGGGAGCTGGAGCTTGCGGCGGGCGTCACGTACAACAGGCATGGCTGCGGAGTCTCGGGGTTGCTGGAAACAGAGAGGAGGGCGAGCAAGCAGGGCTAGCAAGCAGGGCGAGGTGACGAGTGAAGTGACGTTCTGGACCCGTGCATCGGGTTATATAGACCCTGTTGCTGCACCCTTCCTCCCCGCACCCCGTTGTCCTGCCTCGCCGGGCCGAGGACCCCCACCCACGCACCGTGCCTTGCCTCCCCGCACCCTTCTGGCCCTGGTCCGTCGGGCGCCGGGGTGCAGCCGCTGCAGGTGCTCCCCCTCCACCTGACTCGCTCTCCTGGGGCGCCAGGGCGCGCCACCCCCGCCAGCGCGATCAGTTTGAGGTCCTGCACGGTGCACGATGGACGAGATCGAGGAAATCATTTCAAGTTGGAAAAACGATCTATACTCGCCCGAGCAATGGAAGAGCGAGTTATTTTGGCAGATTGTCTCCCTTCTGAAGGAGGCGATACCCCGCGACACTACTCTGTTGGAAATACTAGACCAGTGTTACCGTGCGTTTCTCAATCAGTTGATCTATCTAGGCCTTGCTCCGAGCCATGAGGCGCATAAGAGCTACTGTGAAACACGCAAGCTTGTCCAAGCTGTGTTATTGGGGCGGGTTCGACCTGGTCCTATCCGTGCCGCACCCCCGCA